CAATTTCGCTATGAACTGCGCATTGTGGAAAAGTTGTAGGTTCTGATCACTACATATGTTTTCTAGGCAGGTCTCAAAATGAATGATAAACTGTACATCGGAACACCGAATATTTCGTTGAAACGGACTTTGTGCGCTGACGCTGACGCTTCCGGCGTAGCACAGATTCTACTCCAAGGTTGCATGCAGAAACTACTGTCATGTTGCAATCACGACTCAACTGATATCATTAGTTGCACTTTTCAATAACTGGTTCCGTATTCCCTAGTTTGTTGAAAAAGGCACAGTAACAGGCACAGAGGCCCACTCGAGAGCGTCTTTTTGGAGATAAAGAAACACAATTGCGTGACTGATACTTGCGGATGCGGTTCACGCTAACCTCGGCAGGCAGGTCCTGGACATTTCATCGTGGTTTCTTCATTTTCACTTATCGTAAACTTATTGGTAGCCTTCTCAGCCTTCTACTGTTTGCAGTTGAAACTGCCAGTAATAAGACAAGCGGTCTCGCCTTCTCTCATAGCCATTGAGCTAAATGGCTTAACGAGGTAACTGAGTGTGTGGAGTTCGCTGTTTGGCGCGAAAACTGCGCAGATCTAGATGAGGAGGCTAAAGGGAACTTTTCGCGTCGGATATTAAAGGCAAAATAAGGCTATGACCTCTCAAATGTGTCGGACGATCCGGAAGGCGATTTTTGAGGCTGCGCTACTTTCAAAATGTGAAAAACGGCAAGAACTCCGCTAGAAGCTGGCTAATTAGGCCCATGGACACCCCTTAGGCCCATGCCGACCCTCACCGGCTGCTAGCTACTAGCTAGTAGCCACTATGTTATCTTTATCTATAACATTTCGGACTGCTTTTACTGCTGCTTTTCTCCCTAATCAGATACTTAGCACTTTTTTGTGCCTATTTGAGTTCCGTTTCCCGCAATTTGCGGTCGCGAACTGTGCCTTTAAGCTCACTCTAGCGCATTATCAGCTTGATAATGCAGGTAAAATCAATCAAAATGGTCGGCAGATTTATAGATGCAGGGACCTTTAAGTGCCAAATGAGTGCCCTGCGAAGTTGGGACCGCTGTAATGGAATGGAGGATTGCGCTCAAGAATATGAAATCAGTGCACCACTTTTCCATGCAAAAGGGTCTCACACTCCTCTTTCCTGCAGAGGGAGTCTTTCGAACACCTCCATACCCAGCAATTTCACCTAAGGAATGGGTCCTTAAACCAGTCTAGTAGTAGTGCTGGGCTGATCCTTTCGAAGTTCACCCTAGTGTGGCATCATAACAGGGAGCATTGTTCTGGAAAGAGAAGAATATGAGCAGCAAACTCACGTGCAAAGACAGCTCCAAGTTGAAAAACAAGCAGACAGACCACAGTATAATTCATGGCGATGCGAGTAAGGAGTGTGACAAAAATTTGGGAAATGTTATCATTATAGGGCGAATCGGTCGCGGTTTGGCGGATTACAACAGCGCGAGAGCGTTGTGCAAAACACTGCCTTCCTTATCCTTGCTCCTCTGCCTGTCTTTAGTTTCACCTGACGAAATGAGACTTGTTCCACGAGGTCTCGCCATGTTACGATCAATGTAATATGTCCATGAGAAAACCGCATGACGCGTTCGAGTTGATCACTGAGTTGGGTTGGGTGATATTAAACTCATTTGTATGTTCTGGTGTGCTAGTTATGACAGTGTCGGTGGAAAGTTGGAGTTGTGAGACAAATCAAATTGGACTTACACAGTTACTGTAGTTGAATTCGGTGTGAGGTTTCTGGGCAGAGGTGTTGTAGTGACACAGTAGCCGCGTCTTACTAATAGCGGCACTTCCCTAGGGTCAAGGCCCTGGATCAGCTCCTACTTGGCAAGGTCCAGCACACTCCATCCCTCAACAGTAGGTTATATAACCTCGGCCCTTTGACTGTAGAGGTGTAGTAAACTGTTATGCTGATTCCTAAATTGCCGGTCTCTGGAAGTCTTTGTATGTGGCGTATTCGAAATTGTAGGACTCTAAATGGATGAAGTATGCGTGCTCATCACAATAAGGCCTGTTTGTGGTCATAAGCGACTCTAAAAATAAAGGATGCGCCCAATTAATCAGCTCACTGGGAACGTCGTGCTGTTTAGAGGCGTACCATATAACGTCACACGAAGAGGGTCGAATGCCCAAAGGTGCGGGGCGACAGTACGCCAATCGCACAGTAGTTCGAGCATTCTTCAGTGCTCCCCTTCTCCCTACCGGAATCGTCATGCTCTTTTGCCACTAACAGGCATCTTTTTCTCAGTGTTGACGTCATCAAAGGGCTTTGACAGCCATTCTGCAGGGTTCCAGCGCCTTTACCTCCACAGGTCGGCTGCCACACTTTCAAGGTCTATCGCTTGCTTTCCATCTTTTTGAGAGCCGTTGCTGTTCCTCTACGGTTATCGTCTGAAAGGGGTCGTATATTAGTGAGACAAACATGATGACAGGATAAGTTCAATGATCTTTCGTCAAGGCAGTCGCGCCATCACCTCACCTACTACCCACTTGACTCATCAGAAGACAGCTTTTTCGATGCCAATACCATGAGTTTCTCCGTATTCAGTCTCGCAGTAAATGCCTTGGCAAAACAGTAAATCAACTACTATTTTCACTACACAACAATAAATAGAGGCGACTTTTCATCATTATCCTCAGATTCTCATATTCTTGAGAGTGATTGATTATTAATCTACGCATTTTGGGGATTCCACCATCTCGAAGGTTGCAGCACTCCTGCTCTCGTCAACGCACGTGAAATGGGTTAACCAGATGCGAGGAATCAATCAGCGCTTCCTTCACAAGTACAACGCAATTTCTTTATGCGGATAACATTTTAGGTTCTGCAAAATAAGAACTGAAGATGATGACGAGGGCTAGAACTCAGCAACTGTGCTGCTTCTGCAACAGCCCTCGCAGGCCGCGCATTCCCACAAAACATCAAAATAAAAACGGCCTAAGCGTCCCACTCGTTAGTTTGAAGTATTTCTAGAGCCGGATTCGAGCCGGATCGCAGAAATGCACACGCGATTTTAATTTATTGCGTTTCCTTAGTTTTTTCAATTTTGTTTTATTTACATCTACATTCGTTGTTGTTCATTTCTAGCCTTTGTCATCTTCATCACCTTCTATTCGGACTTTGAAGCATGAGCAATACCTCAAATGTTAGGAAATTGCGTTTTGCTTGTATTGTCATGTTTTATTGTCATGTTGTCCGTTTTTATTGTCATGTTCTGTGGGAATGCGCGGCCTCTGAGGGATATTGCAGAAGCACCACAGTTGCTCTTGAGTTCTAGCCCTCGTCATCATCTTCGGTTCTTATTTTGCAGCACCTAAAATGTTATCCGCATAAAGAAATTGCGTTGTACTTATTCCAAAGCGCAATTACAGGACTTGGCAAAAAGCCAAGAGAGCTGCACGCGACCGCGCCGCGCGGATGGTGTTAGCATAAACGTGAGGGCGGTGTAGCAAGGAATTACGACTTTCCCACGGCCCCGTACCCGTGCAGTTTTGGGCGGGGGGACCACGACACATCGACAGCTGGGGGGCTGATAGTCTCATACACCCTCAATGTGTTTGAGCGTACCATGTGTCTTTAAAGATGCGAGAATCACATGAGCGCTTTCCTTCGAAAGGCACTACCTAATTTTTCGGGATTACATTGCTCGATTTGACTGGATCTGAGCGGAAGGACAATGTGTGTAGCTGCACCACATGCCAGCAGCCTCCCCTGTCGCTGCCCCATGCATGCAAGGCGGCAAGCCTCACATTTCCGTGGTGAGAAGTCACTATTTAAAAGGGGCTTGTCAGAAAGAAAACAAAAAGACATTTCAGTGAACGGTCGATGCAATGAACGTTCTTTCCCTATACATACACTCTAGTTCGCTGCGGACGGTTGGGCGTGTCAGGCAGTATGAGTGTGTCACCCCGTCAAAGCCGTTCTCTGCCTTCTTGTTGAAGCGCGCATGCGACAAAAAGTGGTAGGGAACGAGTAATACGAAAGTCTAGCAACCAGAGGAGAACGTGTTTGGCACCGCGCCAAACTCATCGCACCTTACACGCCCAACCGTCCGCAGCGAACTACACTATGCAATGTCCGTGCAAATTCATGAGAGCCACGTGCATAGCGCTCCAATCAGACTGATCGTCATCTAACATTTGCACCATTTGTTAAGCCTTTAACCTTCATTTATTTGAAGCATGTGTACCTATGTATAAATCACCAGAAACAAATGACTTCTTGAAAAAATACCAAAATGGTCCATAATCCAACAATTTACTCGTGACAACGACGACCTGCCGCTAAGAGGCGGAACCCGTTAGGAGATAATTTCAGACAATAAAACCGGAACAACTTATGCGATCACAATGACAAAGCCTTGTTTTCCTAACATTTCCTATTATGTATAGTTGCACCACGTGCACAGGATCCTGAATGAAGAAGAGCGCTCGAAGTGCTCCTTTGCTGCGAAGATTTAGGGTCGGTGACTAAATTCAATGCCCACGTCTTCCGGATTGAGATCAGCCTCGTCCGTGTCATGTACAGATGATGTCTTCAGTCTGCGATAATTGTCGAACATTGCGTTTCGACGAGGTGCCAAGAGTACTGTGGCCAGGAGAGACAGCACGAACATTTCGCAGATGATCACGAAGTTGCACACGACTAAACCACGGCATACTTACGCTAAGCCTTGAATATGAACAGAAAAAAAGGCGCCTACAACTGGCGTTCTCCTGAGCGGTTAGTAAAGGACCGCATGTGATCAGGTCGAAACGAAGAAGGACGTTTTGGAAGAGCATCGGCTGCTGAGCAGAAAAGAAAAGTAGCGAGACATCGACGAAGCGGAATATCGTCATGAAGCAGTACTCGGAGAGCTTGTTCTGAAATTTTGCAATGGAATACTCTCATCAAATCTCTAGCTTCTCTCTTCTTGCAACTTCGGTATCTTAGTTGTAAGTATTCCAATTGTACTGGGCCTTACGATGTTGTTAGGTGGAAAATTTATCAAGTCCTATCAAATGAATCTTTCGCTTAACGTAGTGAGGCAAAAGACAATTGGAAGATTCCTCACCAATTTTCTGTTTTCAAGCTTTTTACCCTGTGAATGCCCTTGTTCTGGGCAATCTCGCAGACCTTGGCGCTTGTCCTTTTTATTAAAAAATGAGTAAGTGAAGAATCATTCCAATTTGCTTTAGTAAATTCCACCCAAAGCTTCATGGAACACTCCAAATCAGTTGCAAGACATAAGAAGGCAAAGTCGATCGATTATAGAGATTAAAGTTGTCCAGCGGGAACCTAATGGGTAGTACCATAGAGGCTGTACCATCTACGGACCGGAGAAGAAGGTGAAGGAAGAATGTGCTGAGATCGCTGGTGGCCAAACTAACTTCACCCATCATTTGGTGACCCATCCACAGATGGAGGGCGTTGCGCTTTTAGCTGGGTGGGGCTGCTGCTATATCTGTGCGGAATCATGTCTATCATCTCCTCCTTTTCAATTAATGATCCTTTCCATTGGTCTCCTTCCTGACCTCGTAACGCCTCTTCACCTCATCGTGTTGGCCCAGTTATGAAAATCATTGGATGCCCTCAGCTAGCTTGTTCCCGAGCTATTTTCATGTTTCTTTTTCATTGCTTTGTCAGTTAAATAAAGGGATGAAGCCTTTGCCGTTGATCAATCCTTTTGTGGGATGTGACATGCATTCTACTTCAATTGTGAATCGCAGGCTTCTGGAATGCTATCTGACCTATACGGTGACTTGCAGTGGAAAGCATGTACCAGACGATGTTCCTACCCTCCCAGAAGAATCTGGTACCAGTATACCATTTCCTGAGGAAAGAAGGCCTGATTAGCCTGGTTGGGAGTCTACCCGAGATTGGAACCCAGGACCGCGCAAGTGGGAGCGTATCCACCACTTGAGATCGCACAATGTGCCGCTGAGAAAATGTGCTCTCTAAGCCAATATAAAATTGGAAACGCTTTCCGTTACTTAATTTTATAGAAGTCCCCATATTCCGGCGGACATTCCACTTCCTTCAAGACCGTGGTAGCTAATACTGTTATGTAGGCCCATACAGTTATCCCTAGACGAATGTGATATCCATGTACCGCCTTCTGAGGGTTGAGAGCTTTGCTGGCCTGCACGAAAGCCAAAGGATTTGACCGCGAATCGTGTGCATCCTAAGCGGGTCACTTCACTACGCCTATCGTCTTACCTGGACAGATATGATTTTGAAACTCAAACCCAACTCACCACTCCATTACCGTGATGAGCTTTACGCAAAACCTAGGCCCCCGTGAAATAATGTGCATGGGGTTCCAAATCGTTCAACATTTGCAGTTGAAGTAGGAGTGAAATTAAATAGTGGATATTCTCGACAATTTGCTAAACGTTTGCTTTCATGATGTCATCGATAAATTTATTTACCAGCTTTGTTAGAGGAGTAAACGCCAAACTATTCGCGTTGGCCCCGACTGTTGACCTGTTGGAGTTATCAGAAAAGCTTCAGCAAACTAACCGATGTCACTCGTGCCAGCGTGTGTACACCGAATATTGCGAGAAGCAGCGAACCGACGGAGAACACATCCGAATACCGGAGGAATCTGCAATTGAAACCTGAGTCTAAGAGCTTTTATGGTTTCAGAGCGCAACGGATTCTTACGTCTTCGCTTCCTCTCTCATCTCAGCAACGGCGATAATATCGCTGACTATAATGAGAGCACGTACAACGGGCGCCTGAAGTACCATCCATTCCAAACGACGAATATTTTTCCTGAAGAAATTCTCGAGATGCAAGAGAAATCTATCTATAAATCTGTAATTCCAGTCCTTTTACTACCCCAGAGACCTACAGCAAAGCAGGCTGGCCGGGGCAGCCTGCTTCCCAAACTCTCTCTCAGGAAAAAACAACACAACTGAAGGAGAAATTGAGAGAATGAATACTACCCGAACAAGAACATACTCAGAAGACTCGGCCGTCGGAAGGAATGGCAGGAGACAGCAGAATGGCGGACTTCTGAAGTCTATCGGTCTCGAGTCGAACTGTAGGCTATTGCAGAACGATGATCGCCCTCCAAATAAATGCCTAAAGACAAACAAATTTAATAAAATTCGTCAGTGCTACTTCGTCTTTATGAATATCACGCTATTTCAATAATAATATGATGAATATCAGTATTTATTAGTGATAAGTGGAAACAATTGTGATAATTTAATCAAGCTACTCCTGAGAACAGAACGCTGGCCGAATGTTGTTTGATAACTGCTGTTTTACGCCGCAGTTCGCGTTCCGAAAGTTATCACAAGAATGCTGAGTTATGGGCAAAAGTCGTGCCCCAGGCGGGAGTCGAACCCGCACCTCACGCTTTCCGGGCGAGTGCGCTATCCGTTACGCCACCAGGGCCGCTTTTACCCTCTCAGCTTAACGGCTTTTATGCCGTAGCCTTACAGCACTCACACGTTTAACTTGGTGAGTGCTGTAAGGCTACGGCATAAAAGCCGTTAAGCTGAGAGGGTAAAAGCGGCCCTGGTGGCGTAACGGATAGCGCACTCGCCCGGAAAGCGTGAGGTGCGGGTTCGACTCCCGCCTGGGGCACGACTTTTGCCCATAACTCAGCATTCTTGTGCTGGCCGAATATGCCTACAGGAAAAAGTTAAGCCAAAATTTGGTTTGATTTTTTTGAAGCAGTGAAGAGTGTATTTATTCTGAAAAAGAGCATTATTTACGGCCTCAAAGGCAGTTGGCACGATGGTTTCCTACTTAGCCTAAATGCTAGTAGGGCGCTGTATAGTGGGGAAATGGCGAAAGAACGGAGTGAAACGGTCAAAATCCTGCGAAGAAAAAGCCTCCGTTCTCAGTGACTTGTAAATCGATTTCGGACGAGTAGGCATCTTACCAATCACCGCTACCGAAGATACGGCTGCATATGTGTACCCATGTATGCATGCAGCATCACGGCCGCTTCATACCAATCCCTTCGCTTCATAATTTGCTTAGCAAATGAATGAATACGAGCGTCAGGAACGGTCGTCCATTTGTGGGCGGGCGGGCGTGGCGGGCGTTTGGGACGTAAAGTTGTGGCTTGATAGGGCCCTTATAAGGGCACCTTCCTCGGGGAAACCGCTATGCAGCGCCTGCCCAGGGTCGCGGTCTATTCTGCCAGGAGTATTGATCCTAGTCGCCTTGGGGGATTTATCGTGCCAACTGCCTTTATGGGCTTCAGTCCCTTAAACATACCTGCAGAGTGAGACGATAACGAATAGGCACATAAGATAGTAAAGGAGACCAAGTGCTGTCATGATCAGCGATGTTCGTGGCGCCAGCATTCCAATAAGACAACAACTGGTCGACACCTGAAATATTGCGCACAAAGTCCAAGGTTTCAGGGATACAAAATCACAACGACGTTGGATATCTCGTCTACATAGAAGGTTTAGCACGCTGACTTGTACATAGCCTGGCTACACAAGACTATGCATGCGACTGCTCCTATAATAGTAGATGGAAGCAGCGCATGTCCTGGTAGGGCGACATTTAAAAAAAAATTCCCCTCTCCCTCGAAGTCCATCAACGGACAAGTGTTTTCCCCCACCCATCCACTATCACAACGAGTAAAGTGCAGCTGGGCTGACTAGCATGGAAGAAATGGTGCCAATCCAATTATGATATGTTAGGGAGTCGCCAGCGTAAGACGCGCCGTATGGAAGTTCTAGAAGCTTTTCAAGAGGGGACTGATCTTGTCACATTCATTTTCTATAGGAACAGCAAGATAGAGCAGGTCAATTGAGATGGTGCAGTTACCTTATTCCTAGCATTATCACCAAAACCCTTGAACAGTGGGTAGACTCCGATTTGACTTACCGGGTAGAGAGTAACGAGCCAGTATAGTTTGTTCCTCCGGGTTTCGATGGAGACAAACGAATAGACATAAAACCAGTGAACGAAAGCCAATACGTACACCACCAAGGTGAATGCGGCAGCAATGATCAATAGAACTTCTTGGAATGGTTCGAGATCTGAAATGAATAGTTTTAACAGTAATTAGGAGCATTTCAGCACTGATTCTTAGGTCCAATGACCGTGGTTCTGATTTAAAAAATGTAATAACACCGTCTTCGCAAAAAAACATGATAGGGATTTTCTGACTATAAGGAGATTATAGGATTCCTTATTAGAATAACGGTCTTCACGTTGATCTTTATTCAGCTACAGCATCATGATATGTGAAATGGTAGTGTCAGTACGACCCCTCTCCCCTCAAAGGAGGGTCTCGGAACGACCTCCCACCTAAAAGAGGGTCTCGGTACTACTCCAACCCTCCCCAGCACCTGCCTACCACTTCTCTACAAGTTCCCAGCTTCCTACCAGTTTTTCCAAAATTTCCCACATTTTCCAATTTCCACCCAAAAATTTTTCGTCGAGCGGGTGAGAGGGGGGGAGGGGTTGAGGTTTAGTAGGCACGAAAAAGAAAAAAGCGCGAAAAGTTAACAACCGGGAGAAATAATTTTTTTCAACGGGGCAACTTTCTCTCAAGCCACATATAACACCCCCCCCTCTATGTGTTTCACACAACGCTGTTTCCTATCTCTACTGACGCACCCTTTATTTTATGACGGAGCGAAATCCCACATAGTAGTGCAGCACTTCTGTCAAACCGCGTTTTCGATCCAAACAGAGTCCGAGGGATCGTTTCACGCCAAACTGTGGTTTTCGCGGAAAATCCGTAGATAGGCTAACTTTGGACCCTAACCGAGCACTATTGGTGGGCCTCGCTTAAGAGTCTCTGGTCACATTCACCTTGTGTCACAGTGCAAAAGAGGGGACTGCGAACCCGTCAACAAATTCTATAATTATTCGATGTTATTATTTTGAACTAATACTGTTAGATTTACTCGTGAACTCCCAGAATCTCAGAAGGTACCGTTAACACGCATGTTTTTCCCTGGCGCTTTTTGGCGCCGAGCTGTTGCCTGCCCCAATGTGTCGCTCCGGCTTTTTCATCGAACTTTTTCACTTTTTTCGTTCAGAACTTGCACCAAATTGTGAAGGTCGCCAAAGTGTTAATCACAGATGTAACGTCAATTTCTGGCCCTGGCATCAGAAAGAGATTTCAGAACCAGAACCAGATCCAGATTACATACAGATGCAAGGTTATAACCATTTTGCTAAGAAAATTGATAGCAACGAATGTTCTCATTCCGCCTGATGGCTTACAGCAATATTAAAGAGGTTTTATGCTTTCAGAATTGATCAAGCACGGCACTGCTCTACTATTACTGCCCCAAAAACTCGAAAAAAATCGTTTTGCTGATTTGTCTCTAGGGCTTGTTCGATGCGCTAAACACAAGCATGACATCCGTTTTTGACGCTGGCGCCATTGGGCCTCAGTAGGCGCCGTTTGGCGCCGCAACTTTACTTATCAAAGTCCGTGTAAACGTGCATACCCGTGTTATTCGGTGACCTGGTCATGAGTGTGATATTCATTTCCAGCTCCGGCGCCATTTGGCACTACACCATTTTTCACCAAAAATGAGTCAAATTTGCATAGTAGTAATTTGTTTGATGCCCTGATCACATATATAACATTCATTTTTCGACACCAGCGCATTTGGTTCCCTATTGAGACTGACCCTGGGAGAGATCGTGATCCCCTTTCGGCCAGGATTAGCCTTAGCTGGGAGCAAATGATCCTAGGGTCCTCCATCAACACCGGCGCCAGGAAAGGATGTCTTACCCGTAAGTGAGATGTTGAACAACCCTACAGGTTCTCACATATTTTGGTGAGTGAGGAATTTAAGCGAGCGCCAGGTGGTTTTGGACCAAGCGGACGTGATATTCACGTTCAGGAGTCGAGATACCTATGGACAAGTTTTCAGCGAGTTCAGTGATTCAGGGTTTCAGGCGTAACGGGTGTGATATTGGGGTCAGGAAGTTGAACTACCCTGGAACCATGATTCCGGCTAAACCTACTCCCGTAGAGAAAAGTCCATGAAAAAGTGGTCTGCTTTCGAAGGATTGGCGGTAGCGACTGAGAAAGCGCCGCGCACTCTAGTTCCATTCAAACTTGCAATAGTGAATGAATGCGATTTGGCCTATGTAACGACTAACCGGGTTCAGGGAGATTCAATTCATTATTCTCATCCAAGAGATGGAAATCACTGAAAATGAACGCCATACCTCTTATCAAAAGACTAGATAACCTCTGTTTATTGTGTTCTAATAATGGAAAAGCGCAGACTCAAAAGAAGATAAAACGCACGTGCAAGGAACTCGCGAGCCGACGGTGTATCCATTCGTTCTGTACAATTTTTGTCTGGTGGCACCATCAGAGACTCCATTAAACGAACCACAGCGGCAACACGAACCCCGTCCGCCATTCTGCAGTCTAAATGTGCCTAAATAAGAGTCACTGAGGAGAGAGCTACATTGTTCTAAACAATAAAGAAGCGATTAGATAAAGTTACAAGCACTGATGGTAGTCAAGTTCATACCGCATATAATTGTACATATGGATGAAGGAGAATGTCCAAAAAAAAGGAAAGAATGAGAGTGTATCACATCAGCTTCACTATGGGGAAATGAGAATCTAGTAACATCATTTCTACTAACTCGAGGTTTCAGCAAAAGGCTTCATAAAAGAAGCCAGAAGCATCGCATAGACACGAGGCTCAGTAAGTGATTCGTGAAGAGCTGCCTTTTGAACGAAACGGTCAGCAGATAAGACAAGTATGACAGTATAGTGAGTCATCACACGTTTATTGAATTGCCACTGAAAGAATCCCATCTATGACTCGTAGCCTAGCCTGAAATTCATGACTAAGGGCGAGGGCGAATCGATAAGGTGGCTGATGGGACTGGTTGAGGAGGAGTGTATCATTGAGAAATTGCAACAGATGCGACGTTGTGTAGTTCTTGTCTTACTCTTTGCACCTGGACCTTTCTAAAAACAAATATTTCGCATGCGCTTCCTATAAAAAGTGTTTCAAGGGGATCATATCAAATAAAGCTCGCTTTCAATAGCCTTTATGAAGGCCTTGTTCATATTACTTCCTCATAGGATCGTAGGGACATTTCAATACATATTCGGCCAGTACTTCACTGTTTTAGATCCACCGACACTGAGGTCAGCGCTTTCTTTTTTGAAGCAGCCTCGTCTTGCGGCTTACTTGAGCCGTAAGATGGAAAGTTCAGAAGATCCGATGAAAAAACTAGGAGCTCTCGATAATAGCGGTTCTGCCAGAATGCCAGAAAGAGAAACTGTCACCACCACACAGTTTTTTGCGAGCCAAGGCTTCAAACTTAGTGATACCGTAACTCTGAAATGTTGGGCTTCAAATGCATGTGTGCTGCATAACGAAACCTTATCCTTCTAGCATCCCATTCAATTTTTTCGACCACCTCTGTATTGGAAAAGGGCAATAGTTTGCTTAATTTTTGTTCATGGATCGAATGTTATTTCCTGGCAACGCGTGACAGGGCATGATGTGCACTTCATAAATTATTCATGTTTTTGAATAGGACCACGAGTGGTGAAAACTTCAAG